CACTCGTCTGATCATCTATGAATGAACGCAGGCACAGGAAGCTCTGGAGGTGAACCCTGTTGCATGAAACCCCCCCCCCCCCCCCCCCCTCGTCTCCACCCAGTTTCAAGGCGAGGATGGCGATTTATGCATGGCAAGTTAGGACAAATTATGACCCACATAACTCGACCACACCCCTCTTTTTTTTCTTCTTTTTTTTTTTACGCTTTCCTCCCTTTACCAAAGTGTTGATCTAACACATGGCATTATAGGTGAGCTGGTGAAGTTTACAGCATTGTCATCTCTCCAGGGGCTCGAGCACTTGCCGGTGGCTGTTTGATGGCAGCAACATCACTGCCTGGCCCCCTCCCCCAGAGCAAAACCCAAACCCTTAGGGGGGAAAGAGAGAGCCGAAGACACATCTGCAAGATAAACAGCATGCTGTGCAGTTTATTTGCGTCTTGAGGGAATGGAAAAAGATGGATGATGGAAGTTATGAATGCACTGCTGGTGTTGCTGTGTGTGTTGAGTGAGAACAAGGTAGTGGTCCCCTTCACTTCCCCTTCAGTCCCTTCCCCTGCATCTCCCTCTCCTCCTCTCCATCCTTACCTGGTCCATGATTTCAACGAGCCTCCTCCCTCCTCCTGTCCCCGGTCATGACAAGAGATCTCCGGCTTTCTCCCTTTTGTTTTCCTTGTTCAGTATTCCCCAAAACAATCCAATCCTGCTGTCCTCACACAGGCGAGGCAGCCTGGCAGCCGACCGCTGCTGCACCTCTCCACAGAGGCATGCTTCTGTCTCTCCTTGAGTGTGACAGTCTGAATCATCCAGCCAAACACTACCCTCTTGTCCCTTTCTCTGTCTTCTCCTCTGTCCGGCTGCTCTGGGAGGAGGCTGGAGGGTAAACAGGGCGTGTGCAGGATCCTCACCTCTCTCCTTGATAACCACACAGAGGGGAAGAGACTCCCGCTCTCCGCTTTCCTTCTCAAGCTCTTCCACTCGTTCCCTGTGTAAGCTTGCCCCTAGCCTCCCCTCCTCTTCCCTCCCTCCCTCCCTATCTGTCTCCACTTCCCTCCTCTCTTTCCACCTCCCCTCCCCCTCCTGCTGCAGCCAGAGCCAGAGCAAGCCTATGAGAGAGAGGCAGCAAGGGAGAGAGAAGGGCGGAGAGCTGGGATTGGCTACCAGGGGGGCCATGTGACTCCCGGCGGAGGGCTGAGGGACCCTCTACCAGCTGTCCAGCTCATGCTTCCCTGAAAACCTCTGTTGCCATTGACGACAGCTGCTGTGCAACACACCAACCACAGATCTCCAGACACAAAGCTATTGGCTTGCAGGATTTATGGCCACCGCCTCCTATTGTGGGGGGAGCATGCCGGGACGTGTAGTTCAATCTGCGGCGAGGGTGAACTGGGTGTTTAAGAGCAGGCATCCCTGTGGCCCCAAGAGGAATTTTTTTCCCCCTGCTCTCGCCTCTCAGCTGAAATGTTTGTGCATCAGTGTTGCACTGGCTGAGCTCCAGAGTGAAAGAGTAGGGCAGTAGGTTTCATTACGAGTATTCAACTTTGGAATGAACTTGTATAAAACCCACACGAGGGGAGGAAAGACCTCGAGGCCCAGGCATTCTTGGACATCCTCTTGTCGTTTCCCTCTCAGGCCACACGGAGGGAAACTCCCGCCCCTCAACAACAGGAACTCAACAGCTGAAGGCCACGGCTAAACACACAGGCAAAACCTCCCCCTCCTCCCTCCTTCTTTTCTTTCATTGCCTTCTTTTTCTTTATTTGCTCTGTCACTATCCTCTCCACCCCCCCTACCCTTCCGTCCTTCTCCCCCTATTGTATTTTAACATTAAATTCCTCCTCTGCTCCATTCCCTCCTCCCCCCTGATCTCAGCCACTTTGGGAATCCAGAGAAGGTTGCTGGAGGTTACAGGTGCCACAGAGGGGAGATGGTATTACAAATAAGATGAGATAGTATAACATGGGATAGACATTATTGATTCCACATCAGAGGAAAATGTAGGTGTTCAAACTGCTCAAGGTAAAGGACAAGGGTAATGCATTGTTTCATATATAGACTTGTAAAAAAAAAAAAAGAGGTAGTTATATGCACATCATGTAGGTGCAGGGCCGACTGAGGAAGAAGAAAGGCCTGCACACGTTCTCAAATGCCACAAAAAGTTTTAATTTGTGATAAAGAGGAGTAATTCTAGGAGAAATTATGTGACTACTGTTGTAATTAATTATATTTGTGTGTCTGTCTGGATCCATTTTGGTGATTCATTATTTGTTTTTCCAAGAAATGTCCCTTGGTAAGTTTATTCAGCTTCATAACATATTGCTGCAGTGCATTGTGGTCTATGGAAGTGAGTTTATTTTGTTTTTGCTTTTAAATTTCAAGGACTAAAACAAACCCAAACTTTCTCATTTAAATTCAACTATTTGACATTTTTCAGCGCTCAGATTCCGACCTGGAAACATCTGGCCCTAATGTCACATTGTGATTTTTCCCATTTAAGGACTCATAAACACTTTCAAATGTTGCTTTTTTTATGGCACATACCCAAAAATACTGCTGCAGGGGAACCCAAGGTCTCTGTGGCTTAAAAACAAAGGAGCACCTGTTCTGGCTTATTTTCATTCAATGGACACATAACATAGCTGTGACATAATCTGATACGGACGCTTTGAGCAGTGTGACAGGCCACTGAGGGAGGGAGGGAGGGAGGGTAAGGAATGCAGGTCTAAGTTATCACTGCCGTACAAAAAGGTAAAAAGGTCATGCAAAATGTGGGGCAGCAAACAGATCCCTGACCTGCTTTCTACAGTCCAGCTGCAATGCATCCTTTTCTTTTCTAAACAAACTGAACCTCCACTGCAGACCTGCCGCAGTGTCATTTGATCTAGTCAAGTCAAAGATGCAGTTTGAGGTGAAATGGCTGAGTGTGTGTGTGTGTGTGTGTGTGTGTGTGTGTGTGTGTGTGTGTGTGTGTGTGTGTGTGTGTGTGTGTGTGTGTGTGTGTGTGTGTGTTTGAGTATGCCAAGAGTATGCACTTGGACAGAACAGCGGTTGTATTGTAAGGGTGAGATTGGTAGATTATAATACCAATAGAGGAATTCAGATTATTTCACAGAGTGGGCCTGTCTGTACACATGTGGGAAAGCTTTACAAATGCATTGGGGGGGGGGGGGGGGAATAAACTTTTTAGAAGAAGGAGCACCCTATACAGTAATTTGCTTTTGTTCAGGAAGTTGAGCATGACGAGTGTGAAACCACCGCCTTGTTCTTTGCCAGTATCTCAAATAACAAAAAGTATTAAGTATTATAAGTTCTGCAAAAGCCAAACCAAAAAAGACATTTTGTGGTTCAATGTGGTGTTGTCCTGGACTATTTCCAGGAAACAGTTAGCACTATGCTAACGGTATCCCACAGTTTCAAGTATTTGTGCTAAACTCTAAGCTGATCAACTGCAAGCTGGGAGGTAAAGACCTCCTGCTCAGTGGGTTTCATCTTTTCAGCCAGCAAAAGCAAAAAAGTTGTTTCCCAAAATATGTAACTTCTTTCAAGCTAGAATCTAAGTACATGTCAGAACATGTTTCACAGAAGCGATTTTAAAATATGTAAAAACATAGATTAAGATCACTTGTATCAAATATAAAGGAGGAAAGCTGACCTGTCATCATGAAGAGAGATGGTCACATTTAAGAGCAGGCCGATGAATACACGACTCTTTCATCTGTTGACAAAATGACAAATTAGTAACTGTTCTTTTTTCAAGCAACAGTAGCACTTGGTTGAGTTGTAACTGATACATTGAAATAACTCCACTGCCATCTTGTCTCAGATCCCTTGTTTTTTAATCACACACGTGCTAAGAGGCCAGTTTATTTACTTCAGGGAGTCACTGCCTTCAGCTGATTCTCTGCAGCCTACTGTAGGTAAACAGCGCCCTCTGCAGGACCACAAGCAGCATGAGCCATTAAACAGATGATGGCTTCATGTCAATATGGAGGCAATACTGTCCTTTTAAATATGCTCCCAAAAACATTAAAGTCACTACAGGGAATCATGTTCTGGAGTAGCTCAAGTGACTTAATGGTGTTGTCAGGGCTTTAGAATTACTTGTTTTAGAATTAGATCATCCCCTCAAGTGAGAGAAATACTGATCTGATCAAAGCGTTGTTTAAGGAGAGCAAGGATGTGTTTTCTTACAAGCGAAATGTTAATTACAACATAAATAGATCTCTCTGTCATATTGAGGAGATTATGTCTGATGCATTTTTTTTATTGCAACTATAAAAATCTACATGTTTGACAGAAAAAGCAACTCTAAAATATATATATTTTTAATTGCACTCTCTCTATCCTAACTAACCTCTATGTTAATATTTCTTTATTGGAACAATACTTAGTCTATGCACCGATGCATCAGTTCAACAACGGTATCGGCCGATCATGGCCCTGACATCGGCACATCGGCAAATAATGTGGCACGAACCGATGTCAGAAGCCAATGTTTATTTGTTGTGCCAAATCCATCGAACGCTGGAATAGTACACCTAACTACTGATTCTACTGACTCTGACTCTTAATTGTCAAACATGAGAGGAAACGGTGGCATTGTGGGAGTCTTACACCAAAAGAAGTCATGAATCAAACAATCATCTAAATTGATATTTCAAACTTTGGTATCAGTATCGGCATGGGACTGATTTTCTCAATCAGTGCATCTCTAATATAAATGCAGCATTACGATAAAGGAAAAAAATGGAAATTCACCTTTCTGGCCCTGAGTGCTTTTATTTTTCTGTCACTTTTAAATAAGGAAAAAATGCCAGAAAAGTCATATAAGAAGTATTTGTGCTGGAAAAAAAAATATTGTAAATAAATAAATATCATATTGATGATGAAATCAAAGTGAATGTGGATTATTGTGCAGCAAAAAGTTTCCTTTGACCAAATTAATTTGTTTGGCATCAACAGATTGATACTTGTGTGTGTTGAATTGAAGAGGAAGCAACTTGGTTTACTGAAATCATCTTTATTTTGATATATCATGTGAAATACTGTCAATAATCTCAGTAAATAAATCAGTGCATCAGTAATCATACCATTATTTCAAATAGATCATTTGCATGAGGTTTGGTGGTAAAATATGACATCAATAGGATGGTAGCATTTCTGCGATGACACTATAAATCTTAATGTTAGTTATTTGTAGCCAAAGGAATACACAAAATAAAAACAAAGATGCATTTTAAATTAAGGAACACTGATAAGAAATGGATCTGACGCATTCCCCTTTAACGTCATGGGGAATCCAGATCATAGTGAGGAGACAAACTTATTGGCAACACGTGAATAAAGATTAACACTGAAGCTAAAGCTCTCAAACACAAACACCAGTCAACAAAGGGATGGCAATAAAGACGTATAGATTATACTGTCAAAGTGAACATAATGCATTATAATGTAGGAGAGCCACTCACAGTGCTTTTAAAAAGGCAAACGCTCTATCAAAAAAAAAAAAACATCCTGCAACCATACACTTGGATTCAATGAACTTCTGCTGAGGTAACATTTCTTCTCAAAAGAGGAACATGTGCATGCACAACCTTGAGTAGCATTGAAAAAAAAAAAAAAAACACTGGTAAGACTGATTGTTTCAAGAAATGGGAGCTCTCATGGTGTCATTTTGAGGATTCTGGTCCGAAGAAGTAGGAAGTTGAGTGGGTGTTGAAGATGCAACAGTGCAAGTGGGAGACAGGAGTTTGGATTCCTCGCCACTGGATTGCTCATCACATCCTGCATGAGAGCTCCAATGGGGGAACCATCATGGCCCCGAGCCCTGCTCTGCTCCCTGAAAAAGATGACAGCTGCTCTTAAAAATGTACAGTTCAATATTTGAAGAATTTTTTTTTTTTTTTTTTCTAGTCAGATGCAATCATGTGATTTTTAATACAGGTAATAGAGACTGGACCCTATTTCAAAACAAGAGCTAAATACAGAGCCACACAAGCCTTCCTCAATAATATCCCCTCTGTAGATGTCTTTTAAAAACACACGATGCTACATTTCGCTTCAAATAAGCGTATTTATTATTTTGTAAAAACACTGCCTTACCATTGTCCATGATGGAGACCAGTGATGCAGGAGGGGAATATAACACACACCCTTGTGTTCGCCTGTGCACCGGCCGTCCGCGCGGCTGTTCAGTATTCCTCATCGTCATAGCAAGTAGATGATGTAGGAGAGGAAGACGAGGCCCATGATAGCGAAAAACATCAACAGCAAAATGTCCACCATGATGGAAATACTAGCAGAGATGGACGATGAAGACGTTCAAACACGCAGCTGAACAGCAGCAGCAGCAGCAGCAGCAGCAGCGCCGGAGACCGGTGCACCAGATCGGACAGGTTCGGAAACGCTCGGAAGTCGACGTAGTGAAAATAAGCTCGACCCTCCCCCTTTCCGCTTTAGAACAGGAAGTGAGATGAAAGTCGGCTTTCTTATTACCTCGATTTAAGGCTTTAAAGGCAGGTTTTCAGGGTAATATTATATTCTTATATTATAGTGTTGTTCTGGAGAAAAAAAACAAAACAATGACCTGACAGGCTAAAGTTCTCCCAGGAAAGGAAGGATTTCGTCTTTTGGAAAAGATGTTTGTTCATCTAGAAAATTCCTGCCTTCTTTTTCAATTCCTACTTAAAAAATGCTATCAGCAATTAAACTTCCCACTCAAATGAATGTATTAAACACTATTTCTCAATGAACTGCTATTATATATTAGGTACACCTACAATCATGTCTGCTGATGAAGGTTACTATGTTTAGTTTCAGAGAGGTGAAGCAATTCTTGAGGATGTAATTCATGGTTCTGTGTTGTTCTGCTGTGCACTATATGTTAGATCTTTAGTTCTATTATTTAAGGTTACGTTCATTTAAATGCATGGAGTGGATTATATATTATGCACACCCTCTGCTATTCCATGATGAAATTCAACAGCCAAGAAACTTGAGCCTCCACTGTCTGGTCATCAAGTTGCATCACCACTTCTTCAAAAACAGTTGCAACATAAGGCAGAACGTTAAAACCTCCATGAAGTCAGGATTAATAGCAGGGCTGCATTACTTTTAGCACAAATAAATGAGCATATCAAGTATAAAGATGACAGTTTATAATCATGTTAAAATCCGCAGAAAATAAACCTCAGATGTATTTTTTAATTATTAATATCTGAGGTGATTACATGATACGGCTGGCTAACCTTCAAATGTAAACTAAAGTTCAGTGAGCAGGAAACTGATGCCGATTGGTTTACAACACTGAGCTCACATGGTGAATATTCTTAAGGATTTTATTTTTTTTCCAGTTTCTGTAAATCAGAAATCATTTGGCTTTAATGCATTATTTTACCACATTTCCCACATTGGGGTGGGTGGGGTGGGGACTCCTGGACTCCTTACAGGTAAATCGGTTGAATAGAAAAGGAAGCACAAACCCCAGTCTGAGAAAAAAATGACATTTTATTGAATCTGCAGAATCATAAGTACAATTTGAAGTGCTGTAACAGGGCAACAGGAGATGATATCAGGTCCTTGTCTCTGAGTTTGTATCCAGTATGAGTTTTGAATACACGTGTATGTCATTATGCATATGTTCTTTATTTTTTATTTAAAAAACAAACAAAACAAAATATATCAAAAACAAAACAATTTAAGATGGAATGCACAAAACTGGTCTGTATGCTAAACCCGATAGAGGATTACATGATTTCACTCTGCAAAGTCTACAGTATATATCCAGTATCATAGAAGCAGGGGTGGGGTAGGGGGGGTAGGGGGGCGAGGGGGGTTGGTTTAGAAGCGCAGGGGGCTACGATGAAGGCTGAAGGAAAGAGGGACCATCAGACGGGTGGACAGGATACGAGACAGAAACTGAATGAGGAAATGGTTATGATATGATGTTACGGTTCAGTAGATGAGTGATGCCAGAGCAGGAGAGCCGCATTTGGCGCAAAGAGGTCAACCCCTGACTAATATCCAGGTCAGACAAACAACTTGCCCTGCTTCACAGCCCGGGAGATTCAGCCTCGCACACTTTACACCATCACACACACACTCACATTTGACTTAAATCTATCCTGAGCCACACTTACACAACAATGGCTGGCTTTAGCCACTTTTTCATTTCATCCAAAACACCAGCTGAAAGAACCGATGCCGCCGAGACTAAACGAACGCTTGCATCGGAAACTACCAGTTTTGTTATTAAATTAAATTTGAGCAGATATCATCATAAAGCCAGGAACAGCAATCATTTCACTTCAAACCAAACCAACATCTCTTGAGGTTATCCAAGAGGAACAATATGAGCTCTGGCACAGCTTTCCAATCCAGCGTCTGTTTTGCAAATAAACTTGTCCTGTTGTCAAGTTAGAGGTTAATGCAACTTACAGGCGAACATACAGACAGTTCATTTATTGGTTCATTCCAGTTTCAGGCGTTTTTTTATTTATTTATTATTATTCCTGCAACAATTAATCACATTAGAAAAGTGTTAAACACCAACTTTCACCAAACTTGAGATGCCTATTAAAATCACATCACTTCCCATCAGCCACATTCCAAAAAAAATGTAGGAACTTTTTTTTTTTCTGCAGGCAAGCCACTTTCCAAAGCACCATGACCTGTATGAACGATTTCCCCTAACTCATCTTTATGATACATATACAATTGTACAATGTCATCTAGCTACATAGTGAGGGCCTTGATTCCTTTAATAAAGCTGAACAGTTTTTGGCTGCCCCAACCCCACCCCACTTAAGAATTAACCGCCCTGATCACTCACGTCTGTGACAGTCACAGTGCATCACAGGAGAATGACACAGCAAGTCAAGAAGAAGAGCGGTGTATGGTCAGGGGCCAGATAAGACTATTTACACTACCAGGAATGGTCAGATATAAATGTTGAAGTCTAATGAGGTCCTCGCAGAGCTGCAGTATCTGAAGTGGAGAATTGATGTATTATATATGTGAAGCAACCAGCAACTTAAATGCTTGATTTTATGTTTTTATGAACCAGCCATCTTTACACCTTAGAAACAGCCAGCCTGATGATGGTACATTTGGACAAAATCCAGAATAGTTTTGGGATCCACCTGCCAGAATAAAAGCTTACTGTTGTTCATCAGTGTCTGTGCCTCCCTCTGTGGAATATTTAGGAACCAAAAGGATTAAATAAATCTTTCATTAAATGTGATTTTAATGAAATCTTGAGAATAAGAGATCTGCTGCTCAGAAACAAGCATGTGTCCTGAAACTGCAGGTTCAAAAATCTCAAAACGGTTCTAATACTGCACAAGTCTAGATATACTCTTCTGCCTTGGTTCATAAATTGAGTTGCTGGTTATTTATTTTTTTTAGTAACACTTTCTTTATTAATTAAGCTTCTTACGATAACAAGGAAGGTCAAAAGAAGAACAGCAAGGGGGGGAAGGAGGACAACATTTAGTACAGCCAAGGACTCAACAACTTCTCTCACATTAAATGGAAAAACAAGGACTGGAATGTTCACTCAGTGGAATCAATTTGAAATGAAAAAGATCACGATATAGAGTTGTGCTCGGCAGCTGCCGTTTTCTTCTTCTATGAGTGTGTTTTCTTGCAGCATAAAGGGAAGAAGGCCTTCAACCATCTCCTTCCTCAAAATAGTCATCACCATTAAATTTGGATTCTCTCAGAACTGAACACATCCAGGCTGCAAAAATGGAATGAGGCTTTATATGTATATATTTTTTTCTCTACATCCACACTGACTAAGGTGATGAGTAAGTGTGGCTGCGAGAGATGGACTGATAATGTCCCCTAACTTGTCTCTGATCCTCCTGTATGGACAACCCTGATGACAGGAGGTGCTCTTCAGTTAGGCTACGATTCCAGTTTCACAACGATAGCCGTGATGCAGTGCTATACAAGAGGACGCCTTCTTTGAGCACACAATGGCAGCATGTGTGTCCGTCTATAAATGTATCAAAAACCTCTGTTAAGACTGATTAATTGGCTGACTGGTGCAACAACAGCAACAACACGGTCAGAGGTTAAAGGAATGTACACAAGTTAAAAATATTCAAGCTTAGCTCTGATAGACTGAGATTCTACACTGCATTTCCAGTCGGGCACAGATCACACTGCAAAATGAAAGAAAAATAGAAATCAAAGAGGCTTATGAAAATGCCACAGCCACCCAAACTTTTAACTTATTTCATTCACAAACAAATGCTTGCAGTGGTGGGAAAATTTTCTTTTTTTTTTGCATGACATTGTGTCAGGATTGTTAGGTACTGTAGCTAGGATGAAGCTGGGTGACTCGTAATGACCCCTGACGTACTGCAAGTTTATTTTTTTAAGACTTTTGATTTCCCCTTGTGACAGCACGAGAGTGGAGCAAGGTTTGAGGACGAAAAACAGCACAGACTGACAGACAGAGAAACAGACAGACAGGCAGAGGGTGTCTGAGGTGGAGCTGGAGCAGAGAAAGGATGCAAAAGGGGGATGGGGGGGGGCGGCGGGCGGGAGGGTTCAGGGTCTCACAGGACAGATTAGGGAACAATAGTAAAATCAAGAGAAAGCGGCATTAAGATGAGATGGCACTGGGCTTTTCCTTTCCCTCCCTCTTTCTTTTTCTTTCCCTCTTCTTCTCTCCCTCTCTCTCTCAGATGGCCTCTACGTAGTTTGCAGGCAGCATGCCCTGCTGGCCGGTGCGCTCCACGCGGCCATACATCCAGCCTTCGTCGATCTGCTGCACATCTACAATAACATCTCCGTCCACAAAGGAAACCTCATCCTCATCCGCAGCAGCGTAGTCGTACACGGCCCTGTACCGCTGCAAGGGGAAACAAGAGGAGCTCAGTTAGTTGTTGACAGTAAGCAGCCACAGGTCTGTGTGCTAGAATCCACTAAAATCTAAAGTGCTGTTTCAGAAAATTACTTTTACACATGCAATAGCGTCTACTCATTTGGCTGTTTGTTATATAAACTAATTGACTCTTTTCATTGTTTTCAAGGTTTTAATTCAACCAATTCTATTTGGCAATGAAACACACTTGGAGCACAAGAAGGGGGGTTTAATGGAGTACTCACTCCAGCACTGGGAGGCGGAGCAGCGGCCGCCTGGCGCACAGGTTCAGGAGCAGGCTCGTAGTGGAAGTTCTGAGTGGCTGCAGGCGGCTGGAAAGCTGCTGGTAAAACAGGAATAGAGAGGGAGAAAAAATGAAAAAAGACTTGAAACATATCTCCTGTTGGCTTGTCATAGCAGACTCACTGGTAGATAAACTGGGATTCAGCAGTAAAGCCACAAGTCTACATGGAACACTTTTTGGAGAAGAATAAAGATTTCAGTGGATACAGCTAATGCTTGTT